AGGGCGGTAGGGAGCAATGAGCAGGAAGGGAGATGTTTAACTGCACACTTGAGACAGGGGCAACAGGGGCATGAGCTCAGGAGTGAGGAAGACAGCAGAGGATGGGGATGGGGAACAGGAGGCCATTAACACACACAGCAGCCTTATGAGCAAAAGCAAGCTCGGGGGAGTAAAGAGGTGGACAGAAAGCAACAGCAGCTCCAAGGAAAGCCCAGATTGACCAACACATGGCAGGGTTGGGGAAGGAGAAGGGAAAGCACATTTGCGGGTCGAAGGGCTACTCAAAAGATTTAGGGTAGAGCAGGAGTACTTGCAGGTCTGTGAGTCTACACTATGGGAGTTAGGTGGGGAGGAGGAGAGATCCAGAGCTGGAGATCAAGAAACTGCTTCATCTAAGAAGGATAGGGTCCGGACCATGAGGAAGACTACAGAAGCAGAGGGCGAAAAGGAGAATCATCTTGTTTGTATTTATAGGATTTGGCGAGTCACTAATGGCTACACTCAGGGACAAGTAGATGATACCAAGGTTTCAAGGCTTGGGCAACCAAAAGAATGCTTGTGGCCCCGACCCGCATGAAGAAACTAAAAAAGCCAGTTTCTGGAGACAGCATCGGGGTCACTCTAATCTCAAGGCACTGTCCACACACATGCTCAGGATTTCAGGGCAACAGTGGGAAAAAGCCAGGAATGTGGATGAGGACAGCCCCAGACACCCACGTACAGGCAGAGTTACATACAGACTGTGGTGGGGAAGTGAAAAGACCCAGGGACAGACAAGACAGTGAAACTGATTATGTTACAATCCATTTTGAAAGACAAACACTGATGAGGGATTGTGGGGGGCGGGGATGGGAGGGAGCAGAGAGGCAGAGACTGGTAAAGATTATCACTTTGTACTCTATTTGTCTGCACTGTTTGACAGTGAAAAGCTACTCATGGTTTCAGTATAATTATATAAATGTTTTCAACAACAACAACAACAACAACAACAAAGAACCTGATGGGAAAGGGCCCAAAATGCAGGCCCAGAGTCACTGATGCAGATAAGGGGCAAAGCTGGGGAGACCAACGGGTTAAACCTGCATTGTGTTAGAAACAGCAAAACACGGGAAAGGAAAAGAAAACCTCAGAGCGGCAGCCAGTGAGCCTAGAGAAAATATAAAGGTCATCCAGATCAGTACGGAGACCAGAGGGAAACAGCCAGGGCAACCCATCCAGGCCTTGCTTCAGAGATGGGCTTCCAAGGCTGTCGAGTTTCAAAAGGATCTTCAGAGGGGAAGAAGTTTGGTCAAACAGGAGTAGGTGATGGTATTATGGTCTCTTTGCCCTAGCACAACCAGGGTCAAAAATGAGGTTAGCTGGGGTCAGCCCACCTTGGGCTGAGGAGAGAGCGGCCCCCCTCCCCGCTCACCTCCGCTTCGACCAGCTTCTTTCTGATGCCTTCGGAAGAATCTTCTCGATTGTGCAGCTTCTCCAGCTCCCTCTCAGCTCGCTCCTTCGCCTGGCGGATGTTCTGCAGGAGCTCTGTGGCCTCTGTGCTGGCTTTGACAGCCTGACGGGAGAAAAAGAACAGGACACAGATGTCTACATGCACTCGTGTGGGAAAAGCAGACACGGAGAAAGCAGGAGACACTCATCACATCAGGATCCATTTTTAAAAACAAGCATTCGTTTACTGCGTATTTTGTGTATGTTGGGCATATGCTGGCTTTTAACACTGCTGAATTTGGGACTGGTCCCACAGTTGCAAATGATGTACTTCTCTGTCTGGGGGTGACTGTCGACTTAATGCAACAGACAGAACCAGACAAGAAGGTATCAAGCTCGTCTATCCAGTGTTGATCTCGTTCCTTCGGACTGCTCTTCCTGCGGGGAACAAGTAGAGAGCTATGACAAGAAAACAAGGGAGCCGAGCTGTGGCCTTTCGAGGACTGTAGCAGCCTTGGCGCCTGTGACGATCGACAGGGCCCGGGGGGGGGGGGGGGGGGGGGGGGGGG